ATTACACAAGAATAAAGGCCATAATTCTCTAGGCACTAAGTGGTGGTAACTGGCCTCTGTAAAGAGTCACTGCTTCAACAAGTTGTGGGGTAAGTTACACCCACAATTTATCTTGTAGGACATGTTGAATTCAGAGTTCATTCTTCATCTTCCAAATGTTTACTGTTACATGTGATTAGCTTAATAGACTCTGTGTTTGTGAACCTTACCCAAAAATTCTATCTCATCGTCAATATCCAAACAAGTACAGAGAAAGATAGGAAGAACACCACATAACATCAATTTAATCTGTAGAGGAAATACAGTAAAAAAAAAAATCATATTCCCCTACTGAGTTATGAGTCAGGGAAGTACATTCTATAAAGTCTGTTTGAGACTAATACATTCTTAGTAAGATCCTCTGCATAAATATAGCTATACACAAACAAAGAAGACAATACTGGTTTGACAAAATGGCTCATCTTTCTCACTAAAGTAGACAACAAGAAAGCAATATTTGCTTCACCTTGCCCACTTGCAGTGCCAGTTGTACAAAAATATGCATTTGTAACCAGTTAACTAATGAGAACTAACAAAAATGGGATATAGAGCATTGGGGTTGAAAATTTGCAACACAAAAGAACTGAAAAGGTATGCTTAATTATCAAATTGAGAAAGGAAAGAAACTGCGGCAAGCTGAGTTTGATCAGTGGATAATGATGTAAAGGTGTATCTTCATGTAAAAAACTGCAGTTATCACTGATTACAAGAAACTAATCAAAGAAATTCTCATGATAATGTTTCTTTAGAATAAATACTCACCCAAGTAATTATGTGCAAGAAGTCCATAAAATTAATCACAATAAACATGCTGCCTGGGACAGTAACTAGGTTTACCAACAGCAGTGTCTTTTCAAGACTACTTAAAAGGAAACCTGAAAGGAAGTTTATCATCACATTATGATTTTAGAAAAGCATGCTTATATTTTTGCCAAAACTTACTCAGTTGTTGTTACATCTCTAAGGACCCTAAAAGAAAATCTTCCAATGGAAAAATATACTCATTAATTTGTATCATCATTTTCTTTCCCAAAGACAGCTGACACACAGCTAACAGCTCACACCCTAGATGTGACATCCATTTCAAGAGTTAGAAATTAATCTGACTGCCTCTAAATGAAACTTAAGACAACAGTCAAGGTACTTTCTTTATTCAAATATAAATATTTGTTAATTTTGATGAAATGGAAGTTCTCTGCAGAAGAAAATCAGACATATCAAGTTGATGAAGAAGGTTTTCATGTAAAGAACAAAACTATTTCTTTGAAGTACAACAAGTGTAACAAAGGTTGCTATTAATCACTTACGTTCAGGAGGTCTTTCCTCCCCAGCCTTATGTACTACATCATGATAAATGAAAGAAGAGCGACTTGGAGGATAGAAAATTTGAAGAAAAAGGAACCTAAAAAATCAATTAAAGTGTTGATAATATGTCGTACTGAATCAACTTAGCATTCATTAAATATCACATAATTTTCTCCAAATGAACAATTAATTAACTGATATTTTTCAGTGGATATACAGTGTAAGATGAAATACCTGGTCAGACATGACTTAATGAGCAAAGTAACTCATTATGTTTATTTCCACGTCAGCACAAAAGAACTCAGTTCATTGTCAAGGTATTAATGTATTATGTCTCAATACTGGAGAAAATAGAGGACTTAATTTACTCACCCAAATATAATACAAAAGAATGGTGCAACAGACCAGCTGAACACATTTCCTGATACTGCTGTCAGTGTCAACTGGCCAACTATTGGATAGCTAATGTATATTACATACTCCATGTTCTACAGAGAGAAAATAAAACATTTTACAACAATTAAAGTTCTTGAAATCATGTAAACAGGATATCTCAGTAAGAGAAAGAACAAGGAACATTGAAGAAGATTAAAAGGATTGCATTTTGGTGAGCTTTCACCAAGTTTGCTTCACTTTGTTATGTGTTATTGGCTTGATTTTTGTGAAATTTTATGTTAGAAGTTTTTTGTTTCTGTTACAAGCATGGAGCAAAGAAATTATCTCTATCCCTGTCCAGGAATCATATTTTTTGACATTGCATTCCGTTGCCCTACTACTAAACAGCAGGAAATTCTAAGGTAAGCCAGGCTCAAATGAGACACATGTCCTGCACATAGATAGGATCAGCAATGAAGAAAGCATCTTATAAGTGACTAAATTAAGAAAGATGGTTACTTGTATCACCATTCTTTTATGGATAACTTAGAGTTCAAAATTTACAATCTCTCTTATTCTAATCAAAGAGGTATTCATTTTTATCTAATATGAAACACATCCTTGTTTTGTATGTTTCAGTAATTTGGCAAATGCATATAGAGGGCTGTTGCTCTAACTGATTGAACTCAGGGAAAATGCTGTGACCCTTTTATTAAAACAAGGTACAATAGATTTGCACCAATAAATTGAAAAGTTTAGTCACCTTTATAAACTCAGGCTCTTCATACTGTAGTTGCTTAAACTGGAAGAGACCAACACCACCTTCAAAAATAAATTTCACAAAAGAGATTAAAACAGTCATGTTAATTTACATAAAAAAAATCCTGGGTTTTGAATATTGCCACATACAACTGCTAATCATCCAGCTTCTTTACCTGACAGCACAATAAATACATTGTAAATAAATATAAGTCCAAGGTTAAATACTGATTTCCTACAGAAGGGAAAAAGAAAAATAGATTTCATTATCAGCACACTATAAATATTTATAGTACTGGGTATCAACAAATATCCTGGATCCCAGAGTGGTGCTCTTGTGAGCTAGGAATATAGAAATGATTTAAAAAAAAAACTTTTTTATTAATAAAGGAGACTGTATCACCCCTTACTATTCACCTTAAAAAAAGACTACCTGGTACATTGTACTTAACTGCATTTAGCTTGTTCAAAAGTTACTTTTATTTAAGACTACACAATAACTACTCTTCATTTACTCATTATTACAACTACCTTTTGAAAATAATCTCTCTGTTTAAACTTACCATAGAAAGGGAACAAGGCAAAATATTGAAGATAATTGGAAAAGCAGGACTGAAACGACATATGCCACCAAAGACCTATAGGAAATGAGATATGGCGTTAAGTTAATACATACTATTGCGGACATGAGCTATCCAGATACTCTATGTCAAATAGATTTAATTTCTAGTTGGTCATCAAATGCAGTAAATACTCATAAAATACATAAGCTTAACAATATCTTAACCAGAACTAATCAACCAGCCAGCATGCACACTTCAACAGGAATAAATTCTCACAAAAATTATCAAACTTGAACCACCTTTTTCTACATCTTGAAGTGTTTTCCACAAGATACATCATCAAAATACAGAACACAGCAAAACCAAACAATCTGTTAATATTGAAAAAAATGATGAATACAATCAATTTTGAGATGATAAAATTATTGGTCATGCTACAAGAGATTCTGGACAAATTTGTGTTCACACAGTGATTTGTGTATGTTCAATTTGATTTCATTGCTTTTACATAACTTTTTCACATTTTTGCTGCCAAGTTGACTGTTGGCCAACAGTTGGCCAAAACTTTGGCCTAACACATAATGAAAACTGTCAGCAGACAATTGGCCAACAGTCAGCCAACTGTCAGCCGACTGTTGGCTGACAGTATCTTTCAGGGACTGTTCTTCACTTTTACCCAATCAAGAGCTTCTTTGGTTGGTGGTCATTTCATTTATTCTTGTGACTCTGATTCAATGGTGATATTGTAAGGAGAAATTAAATGTTGCCCACTCTTAGAGTGTAAAGAAGTAAATTTCTGCACCAGGCTGTTGCATTTTTTGCATGCATTACATAGCATTTTTGTATTAGTTTCAATGTTAACATATTGAAAAATAAGAATAACTCCAACATCGTTTAAGATAAGATTAAAATGGGAGGTAGTTTGTCTGTTATATGTTGGCTAATCCAACCCAAATTAAGTGACAATAACAGTAGCTAACTTCTTTCTTGCAAGCAGAAAAATCATTTAGCCATAACTGAAAGCAGTAGCTGAAAACCATAGTTATACATACAGTTCTCCTCCAATGTAAAACAAAGGTACAACACAAGGGATGAAAACACAGGCAAACTTCTTGTTGTGGTGACAAGGTCCTGGGATAAAGGTGGAATCCCCTTGAACATGTTTGTCGTGCAAATGCAACTGAAAACCGTAAAATGCACTACATTTCAATATGTTAGTGGAGACAAAAAATTATTTGCCAAGTCATAAATACGTAAATGTTTGAATTTGCTCTTCAGTTTAAGTGATCTTCACTTTATTACTGTTTAAATGAGCTGAGACACTGTCCATACTCTCCTTGGCCAGCAAGTGTGCTATGATGAGAGTAAGCTAATCCTGTAAATATATGCGACTTTTATTTATTGGTTCACTAAGGCATTTATTCATCTTTTGCACTAATTTTATAATAATGGAGGCATACCCTAGTAAAAACGGTGAACGTGCACATAGGGATGCTATCCTTCCAAAAATATGACTTATTTTTTTATTATCTTCCTTAGCTGCAAAACTATTGAGGAGAGATATAACAAACGAAGAACTTGGAACAAGAAACGACTCTTTTTCTTCGTAACCTAGATGGGAATATGTAGGTTTTAACTATGTACTATTTGTATTTGCAGAATTCACCTCACCGTGTCATCTTTTTGTTGTTGTTTATACGCTTCTGTATTTTGAGGCACAACATGAATATTTCTAAGTTCTGTCCCGTCCATTCTACTTCATATGTCGCAGATAAATTAACTGTCGTTCCATAACGTAAAGTCCACCCCTAGTTTCACATTTGGTTCCAAAATGACGAAGAAGTGAAGTATATGTTCATCTCGTTATCTGCCATATTGAAAATGCATGGGTACTGGATCTAGTTTGTTCCAGTCTTTCTCGCTATTGTGGAAGAAAACGAACGTGACGTAGGTGGTGGTAGGGGAAGCGATAATCGCCTGGTACTTCCGCTGCGAATCAAGGATCACGATCACGTTCTACGAGTAGTTTCAAAACTGGAACAACTTCCTCCCATCGTTGATTTTGTTTTCCTTTATATTTACGAGCAATGTCTCTGTTCGGTGAATATCCATGTATCAATCAAACAATTGCTCCAAGTTACATTTCGTTTACTTCAGCGGCAATATCAGTTCCGATGTGCTTGTTTACCATCGCTGGCAACCTTCTCGTGGTATTGGCAATTTTCATGGACCCCAACAAAGATCTAAAATCGCCGTTTAATTACTTTGTGGCGAACCTAGCCATCAGCGACCTTGTGGTGGGATTTGTCGTCGACCCGTTATCCTTTGCATATCATCTGAGCGAAGGAGTTTCAAGGAAATATCCAGCCCCATTGGCTTACATCCACATGCCATACTTCATCTCGTGTACGGCGTCTGTTCTCAGTTTAGCGGCTTTGACTGTGGATCGACTCTTGGCGATAACGTCTCCGTTGACTTACCGAACAAAGCTGAACCCTAAGCGAGCAGGCTTTGTGGCGGCTGGTATATGGGCCTTTTCACTAAGCTTCCCGTTTATTTACTTTGTGACGGGCTACCTGACTTACGCATTTGTCTTCGCTCACACTGTCATAATTTTCACTTTCCTGGTCATGTTGACAACGTATTACAAGATTTTTCGCGTATTGAAAAATCAAGTGAAACAGTGGGACTCGATGGATCACACGAACGTGGACAATCAGGCCAAGAGACAGGCGGCAAGATGGGAACAGAAAGTGACAAAGACTTTTATCATTATTTTGGCCCTCTTCTTAGCATGTTATCTACCTTCCTGTATTTCCATCTACATCACGAATCTCTGCAGTGCCTGCAGTTGTACGTTTATTCACTGGGTCAGAGATTTTCATTTCCTTTTGATACTTGCCAACTCAGGGGTGAACCCCATTATTTACGCCTGGCGATTTGACAATTTCAGAAAAGCGTTTCAAAAGCTTCTGTCCTGTAAAAATTGTTCATGTCATCGTCAAGGAAGAGCTGTAGAATTAAACACCCTCCCGGAGAGTACGACGAGTGACACTACCGCGTAGAAAATTGTAGGCGTGCGAAAGGGTAGCAAAGTTTGAAGCCATAGGGCATCGTTGATGTTTCGAGGTCATGCGAAAAGACAACCGTTGCGTGCCAGCAACGACTTATTCGCTTTAGAGGTATAAGGCACAAAAATACCATTTCACACCTTCGCTGAGAGGTTAAACAATCACTCAAAGGAGAGATGAGTCTACTAAACATGCTAGAGTATACCTGATGAAGAGGCTCTAGACAAGTAAAGTTGAATTATGCCCAATTTTTCTAAGCCAATAGGTCACGCAATGCTTATCACTCGGCGAGATCAGGAATGTAAGTGCCATTTGATGCGGAAATAAAACTGGTTTGTTAAGTTAATGTTTCTGTAATTATCTTTACCACCAGCTTGTAGACCTACACATAAGCGCAAGTAAGTTCCAAGCATTGTTTTGTAAAACTTCTGGTGTATCTTACAAGTACTGATAACGTTACAAAAAATGCGGATATTAAACAATGAGGAAGAAAAATGAACCGCAAGGGAAATCCAAGGTATGATTACAAGTTGCATCAACAGCTTTATTTAGCCACTGAAAAATTCGCCTCATTCATTTCAAGATGATACTTCAGGAGAGAATTCGCTTTCGCACAGATGAGCCAACAGTTACCCTTAGATGGTAGTCTAGTTACGGTGTAGAGCTAAAGTATACAGCTGAGATGTAGAGCGTCAAACAAATCTGTGATTTTTTTCGAGGGAGCGCAATGGTGTGGCAGCCCAGGAGTAGCTAGCACAAGCACAAGCCGTCTGCCGCCCCTCGGTAGATGGCCTGATGATATCTTGTGTTATTCTTCTGATGTAAGCCAAACATATTTAAACGAAAATAAATTCACAACCTTGAAAGCTCGAAGGCATTAAATTATCACATCAGACGTGTAAAATATCGCGGTGCTCTGTCTCAATTTGTGTCAACCTTGAGAGATTCCGCCATTGTGTCGGCAGTGACAAACCTTTATTTGAACAGTTGAACCCCGGAAACTCGAATTGCCTAGGGGATTGAAATTACCTCGAGTTCTCGGGGTTTCGAGTTCTAAGGGTCTCGAACAAAAAGACAAAAAACACTTAATCAATTCCAGATTTCGCGCCTTGATTTCTCTTTGCGGGAAGAACTGTCAAAACTGTTTGTTTACGGACATACAAACGTGTGATATCGACAAAGGTCAATTTATCATAACATCTAAATGAGATTAAATGTAATCTTCCGGTGCAAAATGTTATGGCTCATTAGTCCGCAAAAATGGACTTTGAGTTATCGAGGGAAAAATTACAAAGAAAAGTACCTGAAGGGAAGTAAAAATTGCTTCAAGTTATCAGGGTTTCGAGTAATTGGGGTTATAATTACAGTAACTATATGAGGCAAATCCAAGGGAAATCAGTTTTGCTTCAAGATAGTGGGGTTCGAATTATCGGGGTTTAACCTATTGTTATGGAAGAGCCTCATTTCCAAAGCTGACAGTTTTCTATTTATAGTCTGAGGCAAACGGTGAAAACAATACTTCTTTCGCGTTGGAAGTGAAGTGTACAGCAGATTCGTAAGCCAAATCTATTCAATCTTAACTTCTCATTCTAACCTAGCGTTGGTGCCGCCGTAAAACTTATCGAGTCATGTCTCTGTTTGGTGAATATCCGTGCACAAATCAATCAGTTGCTCCAATCTACATCTCGTTTACTACGGCCACGATATGTGTTCCGCTGTGTCTATTTACCATCGCTGGAAATTTACTCGTCGTGTTAGCAATCTTCATCGATCCAAACAAAGATCTAAAGTCACCTTTTAACCATTTTGTGGCCAACCTTGCCATTAGCGATCTATTGGTGGGATTCGTCGTTGACCCGACTGCGGTGGTGTACCATGTAAAGGAAGGAGTTGAGAGGAAACTGCCACCTTTACCCTACATTCACATGCCGTACTTCATTTCATGTACAGCTTCTGTTCTCAGTTTGGCAGCTTTAACATTGGATCGATATTTGGCGATAACTTCTCCGCTAACCTACAGAACAAAATTGAATCCTAAGCGAGCAGGTTTTGTGGCGGCTGGCATCTGGTTATTCTCACTAAGTTTCCCATTCATATACCTTGTTACAGGCTACCTTACATATTCATTTGTCTTTCTCCACACAGTCGTAATTGGCACTCTCTTAGTCATCCTTCTAACATATCTGAAGATATTTCGAGTGTTCAAAGATCAAGTGAGACAGTGGGATTCTTTGGATCAAACGAACGTGGACAATCAGGCGAGGAGACAGGCGGCAAGAAGGGAACAGAAAGTGACGAAGACCTTTATTATTATGCTGACCCTCTTCTTAGCATGCTATCTGCCTTCCTGTATCTGCATTTACATTATTAATTTATGCACAGTCTGCAGTTGCACACTTATTCACTGGGCAAGAGATATTCCTTTCCTTCTGATCTTAGCCAATTCAGGAGTGAACCCGTTTCTGTATGCCTGGCGGTTTGAAAATTTCAGGAAAGCGTTCATGAAGCTTTTGAGGAACAGAAAGTGTTGTCGACAACGAAGCCAAAGAACCTTAAGATTTGACAACGTCGCCATGGAGACGATGGACAACTGAGTTAAAGCAGTGACTAGTAAAAGGCTACAAATGGAGAACAAAAAGTAACCAAGGCTGCTATCGCAGTATAGGCTTTGTTCTTACTGTATCTCCGGTTGTAAGTTTATACCGGCAGTCAGTCAGAGATTTTCATTTTACTTTGATCCTCGCCATTTCAGGAGTGAATGCGTTTGTTCGTGCTCAGGCTCCGAAAAGCGTTTTTAAAATCTTCTGACGTGGAGAGAGTGTTTAGAATTAGAATTTGACATCTTCAGAGGGAATACCTCACGTTATTAAAAGGAGCAAACTGTAAACATGTTAAATACGGCGAACTTTAAAAATCTTTTAAGATACTATTTCTTTATTGAGATTCTCTTATCCTTGGTTTGGGAAATCCCAAAACATCGAACTCATGAAGAGCTCAAGTGAAAAGTGCCGAGCGAATTCAATTTGTATACATATATCTTAAAAATACACAGTAATTTCTATAAGAGGGATTAAGATTTTCAACAATGTATGTTATCGCGACCCTCGCGATTTGTCTCACTTCGCCAGTTATAGTTTAGACTCCATGAGTCATACTCCTTTCAAGACTTTCTTCTCCTGTATGAGATGGAGGGTCTTTGAGGATTTGTTTAAGTAAAGGCAGATTTTCTACGAATTACCACTTGACCGCCAATATTTCCTTTAGATTAGGTCTGATTGGTGATATTGCGTGACAAAGGGTAGAAGTTTCGTTTGAGCAGTTTGACTCTGTTTATAAATTCACTTCTGAAAAACTTCACTTCTGACTCTAAATATACTCAACTACATCCACCAATCACGAAATTGATTACAACAACCATGGCAACAACTTACTCAACATACCAGCGGGTTTTCCAAAAGGGAAGAATTTTCTTACAGTCGAACATGTTTAAGTTAGTACTACAAACCAGGGTATTTCACCACCACACCATGTATGAGTGTCGGGTTACTTCGCCATTCAAAAAGGGAGTGTCAGTTAAGTACCCTATGCGAGATGTGAATGTTAGTATGATCCACACAAGGAACTCACTACTACAACAGATGATAAATTTAGTTCGTGCTTATGAACTGTTATCCTAACTATAGCGACTTAGGGTCTATGCATCTCTTCAAAGTGAAGAAAATTGCCGGTTGCCACTCTCATTCCAATTTCCCATCTTCCTCGAGGAGAAATGGACATTTTCTGGAATCACACAAATTAGAAACAACTTTCCTCATTTAATTCAAATCTTTTTTTTCGGTTCATTAACCATAAGTTGCCACGTACTTGATTAACTTTTTGAGGCGCAACAAATGTCATTTTTGAACCAAGATTTACTGAATAACACTAATAGCCGATTAAATTTGCCCTCTAACGTTTGTTAGCGGAAGACAGCCCATTGTCCAAATTTGGTTTACTGAACCAACCCGCGAAAGAAGTAACACTTTCTCAAAATTTTATTTTCTCTAATTCACCTTCTTGCCCTCTCATCATGGATACGGCAATCTCAGTTGTGTTTCTGTTACTTCTTGAGATGTGAAGTGCAAAGACTTTGTTCTTGCCGAGAAAGATGGAATTGCCAATATAGCTTTTTTAGTTTCTAATATATCCTGGACTGGGAAACCCCTTTTTAGACAAGCGACAGAAATCCACTACGCTTTGGTATTTCTTTGTCCGATATACTTTCCTTAAATATGGAACAAAATATTTTAAGAAGGTATACGACTTGTACGCACAGTAAATTTCTTTGTTTAAAACCTTGGAGTTAGGCCTCTGGACTTTGATCTCAGTGCAGTCTAGGATTACCCTTGTTTTAGGGTATTTGATTTCGAAGCAGAGGCATACTACTTTCAGTCTGGGCAGTTGTGGGCCAAATTGGCACTAGGCGAAGCATTTTACGTATGTCTAATCACAAATAAAAACAATTTTTTCTTTAGAATTGTTTCTTGATCACAAATAAAAACAATTTGTTATGAAGTCATAAAGTCATAAAAGACATTAAGTGACATGGAAAAATTACAGCCACTGCTTCGCCTTCGCTGATAGTTTTCTTTACCTCTGCCACGTTTTATTTCGCTTCTCGTTATAACAATAGTTAATATAGCAAAGATTGTGGGCAATGCTTTCTTGTAATCTTCAATCAAAACACTGTAACGCAACACAACCCAAAGCACGTCCAGCCTCGATTTGGTGCCCAATGCGATCCAAGATGGCGCTGAAGTGAAGGTCCTCCAAAGCTGACATATCAGACATAGTTTCCTGTTTTTAATAATTAGACTGTAACAGGAAGTGAATAGTTTCGGGTAGAAAGAGAGGTATACAGTAAATTTGAGCAACCAAATCTGCTCAGTCACGAGTCATGTCTCTGTTTGGTGAATATCCGTGCACAAATCAATCAGTTGCTCCAAGCTACATCGCGTTCACAACGGCCGCGGTAACTGTTCCCTTGTGCCTGTTTACGGTCCCTGGAAATTTACTCGTCGTGTTAGCAATCTTCGTCGATCCAAACAAAGATCTAAAATCGCCTTTCAACTACTTTGTGGCCAGCCTTGCCATTAGCGATCTTTTGATGGGATTCTTCGTCGACCCGACTTCGGTAGTGTATCATGTAATGGAAGGAACTGCTAGAAAAAGACCACCAGCATCCTACCTTCACGTGCCGTTATTCATTTCGTGTACAGCTTCTGTTCTCAGTTTGGCAGCTTTAACACTGGATCGATATTTGGCGATAACGTCTCCGCTAACCTACAGAACACAATTGAATCCTAAGCGAGCGGGTTTTGTGGCGGCTGGCATCTGGGTATTCTCATTAAGTTTCCCTTTCATATACCTTGTTACAGGCTACCTTACATATTCATTTGTCTTTCTCCACACAGTCGTAATTGGCACTCTCTTAGTCATCCTTCTTACGTATCTGAGAATATTTCGTGTGATCAGAGATCAAGTGAAACAATGGGATTCTTTGGATCAGACAAACGTGGACAACCAGGCAAAGAGACAGGCGGCAAGATGGGAACAGAAAGTGACCAAGACCTTTATTATTATACTGACTCTCTTCTTAGCATGCTATCTTCCTGCCTGTATCTGCATTTACATTGTTAACTTATGCAAAGCGTGCAGTTGCACTCTTATACACTGGGCAAGAGATATTCCTGCTCTTTTGATCACGGCTAATTCAGGAGTGAACCCTTTTGTGTATGCCTGGCGGTTTGAAAATTTCAGGAAAGCGTTCGCAAAACTTTTGAGGAACAGAAAGTGCTGTAGAAAACAAAGACAAAGAACTTTAACATTTGAAAACATAGCCATGCAGGGAACAGAAAGTAACTAAGGCTGCTACCACAATATTGGCTCTATTTTTTCTGTATCTCCAGTTATACCTCTATTCACTTCAGTGGGTCAGAGATTTTAATTTTATTCTGATCCTCGCCATTTCAGGAGCGAATCTGTTTGTTCGTGCTCAAGTTCCGCAAGGCGTTTTTAAAATTATGAGACGTACAGAAAGTGTTATGGTTATTTGAGGGAAAGAACATTAGAATTTGACACCCTTAAAGGGAATACTTCAAGTTATTTAGAGTAGCAAAGTGTAAACCTGCCTAAAAATACGGCGAAGTTTGAAGATACAATTTTTTTTATCAAGAACGTCTTCTTCTTTGGCTAGGGAATCCCGAGCCTTAAAACTCATCAAGACCTCAAGTTAACAAAGTGGCGAACGAATACAATTTGTATATATTTTAAAATTGTTGACTGTCAATACACAATAATTCCTTGAACAGGGATTAAGACTTTCAACAATTTGTGTTGGTAAAAAGTGTTGACAAACCTATCACGACGCCGACCCTGGAGATTTTGTTGGACTTGGGCACCTAGCATAGTTTAGACTGAAGGAGTACTCCTATTAAGGCTTTCCTCCCCTAAATGAGATGAGGGGAAGGTCTTTGTATATTTTTTTAAGTAAAAATCGCTTTCTAAGAAATGCTATACATGCCCACTAATAGTTTCTTCACATTGGGTCTTATGAGTAACATTGCGTGGCAACGGGTGGAAGTTTTTGAGAGGTATGAAATTCACTCAGTTCTGATACCAAATACACTCAACCAAATCCGCCAATCACAAATGTTATTAAAAAAACCATGGCACTAACTTACCCAAGAAAACTGAGAAAAAGTGACAAAAGAAACAAACGACAATAGACATAGGAAGGGGGACAGGGTATAAAATAACTTCCTCGTGTGCTTGGCAACAACATACGATAGGGATAGAGGTTCCCTTATACTCTACTTTGCTTGATGATTGATGCCCAACCACCTATTAAAAATGCCTTCTAGGGTTGTCCTATACGTAGCTGTTCTATTTAAGAAATGTAAAATGGTTTCCGTGTTTACATAGCCTGATGTAAACACGCGGGAGGTTGGGAGAACACGAGATAAGCGTAGGAAACCACGACGCGAAGCGGAGTGGTTTCCAGCTTATCGAGTGTTCTCCCAACCTCCCAAGTGTTTACATCAGGCTATGTAAACACGGAAACCATTTTACATTTCTTTTGTAAAATAACTAATGAAAGAGCCTCTTCTTGCAACCAAGGAAAGCGACGTGCTTGTTGTTGTTGTTCATTTGGCTTTTCGGCCGTTTCTTGAATACTGGGAAAATTAAACTCCAAAGAAAAATTAGGAAAATCTTCTTCTTCCATTACTGTACTCAAAACAAACTTAAAGAAACTGAGCTAAATAAATAGCAGGGAGAACTCCGCGAGAAGATTCTGTATGAAAACCGTGTTTACATACGCTCATGTAAAATGGTTTTATGGCCAATCAGAGCGCGCGTACTATTTGAATTATTTTATAATGCTTTTTCTGTTACTTTTCTATTTGTTATTGCTTGCATTAGTCACACCGAACTTGACTCAAGCTGCGAGTCAACGCTGCGTTAACCAGCCTGTTTCAAATTCATGTCGAATATCCCTATTTCACCGTCAATCACAGCACTATGTGTCGGCATTGAAAATCATGTTGTCTTATACGCTTCTTGGTCGTGCTTACCAGTGCAATCGTGATGTTTGAGATGCTTATGTCGTGGTCTAGTAAGTATTCATGCAGTTGTTCGTGGAATATCAAATTTTGTTCTTCCAACTCAACTTCTGGAAGTAGGGTTACCGTATTTACCCGTGTATAATGCGCACTTTTTTTTCCATAAAAACAAGCATCAAAATCGCGGTGCGTATTATAAAAGGATTCTATTGTTTGTCAAGCACGTCCTAATTTGCATACGTTAAAAACGCAACAAAGAAAGTAAAAGTGCACGGATCGGTGGCCTGGGGAGGAGAAAGAGCTTGCTTGTTTACGACTCATTTGAAGCTCACATGACAGATACTGTGAACACTTCCTTCAAACGCGATCTTCCCTTCTCCAGTCGCTCGATGTATCTTTGAACAAACCATTTAGAGATGGAGTCCGAAAGGAGTGGATGGCTGATGGAATTCACGAACTTACTGGACGACGAAAAAAGGCTTCGGAGGAACTGATCTGTTCGTATATTTCACAAGCGTAGGAAGGCATTCCATCATAAATGATCGCTGCCTCTCTCTGAAGTGTGGGATCACAAACAATTCGAATGGATCACAAGATGAATTGGTTTACAATTCAACTGAGATCACTGATGAACTTGAGGATTCAGTCATCGAAAACCTATTCGAATCGGACTGTGAGTCGGTTTAAAGACACTGAACATTTTACTTAAATCACGCAATTGCAATGCAGTAATTATATTCAAACTACCAGCAGTACTGTGAGTAGAAATAATGTTTATGAACGGCTGTTATGATAATAATTCAAGTTGTGAATTTAGGTATATTAGTAAGGACTTCAAGTTACAACATTTATAAAACGTTTGACTGTTACTGAATAGAAAAGCACGTAAATAGGTGCTCAGTGCGTTCGATATTTGTAGTAGCAACTAGTTAGAAATTGTTGTAAACATATTATTGATGAATTCCCAGCTCTTGTTAATTAAGTGAAAAAATGGAAGTTTTAATTCTTGGTATTTGTCATGAAATCTTTTTTTTCGGAAAAAAAGAGGTCAAAAATTAGGGTGCGTATTATACACAGGCGCGCATTATACACGGGTAAATACGGTAACCAGAATATAAGCATATAACCCATAAGCTTCTGGTTTAACAATTTGGTGACTTCGATCTCTTGCACCCTCTCCACAACCGAAACAACGTCCACTACAGACTACCAGGCTTCATCCAGGCTCCCATAAAATTGCAACACATGCCGCACTATCTTTCGCGAATAGAAATGTTTTAATAACTTTCTTAAACCTATTTACGGACGCAATGTTTGTGATGGAAAACGGAAGATGATTCCACAAAGATATGAGCGGCTGCGTAAAAGGAATGATCGCCAAGCGTAACGAGTGATTTACCCTTACAAGGAGGAAGGCGTAGACCATCATTTGAACGTAAATTATGTCTTCCGGTGTCTCTAACAGAAATAAGGTCGCTTATACAAGCAGGGGAAAGAGCAGGTAATTAAGAGAATTTTAAAAGCAATACGATATCATACAGGCAGCCAGTGTAATGACTTCAGCAGACTGAGGTGCGATGTGACAAAATATGTTCTCCTGGAATATTAGGCACGCAGCTCTGGGCATTCTGGACTCTCTGTAACTCATGTAGATGACATTCGCAAGCTACAAACAAGAGACTGTTACAATAGTCCAGGCAGCTTGAAATAAAAGATGTGTAAGTGTCTCTGCCCAAGTACTTTCTAATTCTTCTAGGTGTTGTAAAGTTGCAAAGAGGATGAAGCACTTCAGAACTAGTCTTCTCGTCGTGATATGATCAATCATAGAAACGTTTGGGTAAAGCCAGACTTTTTAACAGTAGAGTGCGGAGCTACATTTACATAACTAACTTAAACGTGGCCAATATTTAGTATGGAGAGGTGCAGCTTCGTGCCAATCAAAAAAGAGTCAGTTTTAGCCTCAACCAACAGTAGTTTACTGTCACCCGTCTAACACCTGAGCGCCTTAATACAACCGACGCTCGATAACATGCAGAAATGGTAACAAAGTGACCCGTGTCATATGCGGGACTGAAGGGAATTAAAGGTGGGTGTCGTCTGTGTAGCAGTGGACGGATGGAATATAATCTTGAACAACATCTAGTAGCGAGATCGAACAAATGAAGCGGCTCAAAACAGGAGCCTTGAGGGACTCTGCATTTCAATTTAAACTTCCCAGGCTGACGCCCACAAACTCATATCCGCTGATTACGCCCTGATAAATACGATCGCAAACACTTAAACACCCTTCCCCCCAAGTTGTAGCCTGAATGCTTTCAGCAAGATCCTGTAGTCGATAGTATCAATAGTAACACAAAGATGTCGTTTTTAACTTTCGGGAGTACAGTTTCAGTGCTGTGGTTCTCTCTGTAAGCCGATTGCGCAACGGATATAAGTTCGAGTCAACCCTGTAATCATGTATCGAATGAAAAACTGCTTTCTCAGAAAACTTCCATAAGAAAGCCAAAGTTGGAAGATTTTATGCGGCGGCGACAAAATATTAATTTTTTTAGTGGTAAGGACAATATCTCACGAGTGAGCCCCGGTATCGTTCTTGTCACGAGAACATAAAATTCATATTTTCGAGCAAACGTGTAATTTTCTTTTTTGTAAATGGACAATAAATTAACCTTCGTCGTTTACCACAAAATCTTGCGGCAGCCATCATTCCAAACAACAAACAAACCACGTTCATTCAGCAAAGTTCGAAAAGGCGGAAAAAAGTGCCACTCTGTTCTCGGATGTGGTGACCGTATTGATTCTACGAGTGTTTTAGTTCCCTGTTCTGTCCTGATATCATGGTGTTTTCATTCTTTGAAGATGTTTGATAAAGTTGGGGCTTATAGACCGTATCATGAAACATCATTATCAAAATTAAAAACATTGTCTCCGACTCATAGTCTAAGCAAGAAGTAAAATCCAGTGGGCTCGAGTAGGAAGTGAAGTGCAGACTGTGCGATTTTGAGACGCCAATACCACAAAATATTGGCAGCCTTGGGAGAAACTATATTCACGTATCACTAATTCGAGCTTCGTATCTTCCACTCTATCCCATCGTCTGATTGTAATTTAGTTTTAGTAGCGCTGAAAATTTGATTGAGCTTCATGTCTCTGTTCGGTGAATATCCGTGCACTAATCAATCAGTTGCTCCAATCCACATTGCGTTCACAACGGCCGCAGTAACTGTTCCTTTATGTCTGTTTACGGTCGCTGGGAATGTACTCGTCGTGTTAGCAATCTTCATCGATCCAAACAAAGATCTCAAATCACCTTTTAACTACTTTGTGGCCAGCCTTGCCATTAGCGATCTTTTGGTGGGATTCGTCGTCGACCCGACTTCGGTAGTGTATCATGTAATGGAAGGAACTGCGAGAAAAAGACCACCAGCATCCTACCTTCACGTGCCGTTCTTCATTTCGTGTACAGCTTCTGTTCTCAGTTTGGCAGCTTTAACACTGGATCGATATTTGGCGATAACGTCTCCGCTAACCTACAGAACAAAGTTAAATCCTAAGCGAGCAGGTTTTGTGGCGGCTGGCATCTGGTTATTCTCACTAAGTTTCCCTTTCATATACCTTGTCACGGGTTACCTCACATATTCATTTGTCTTCCTCCACACAGTCGTGATTGGCACTCTCTTAATCATCATTCTTACTTATCACAAGATCCTTCGTGTATTAAAAAGTCAAATGGAACAGTGGAATTCTTTGGATCAGACGAACATAGACAATCAGGCGAAGAGACAGACAGCAAGATGGGAACAGAAAGTAACCGAAACCTTTATTATCATACTGGCTTTCTTCTTAGCATGCTATCTTCCTGCCTGTATCTGCATTTACATTGTTAACTTATGCAAAGCATGCAGTTGCACACTTATTCACTGGGCAAGAGATATTCCTTCTCTTTTGATCACGGCTAATTCAGGAGTGAACCCGTTTGTGTATGCCTGGCGGTTTGAAAATTTCAGGAAAGCGTTCGCAAAACTTCTGGGGAACAGAAAGTGCTGTAGAAAACAAAGACAAAGAACTTTAACATTTGACAACATAGCCATGCAGGGAACAGAAAGTAACTAAGGCTGCAATAATACACACAATATTGGCTCTACTCTTGCTGTATCTCCAGTTATACCTCTATTCACTTCAGTGGGTCAGAGATTTTAATTTTATTTTGATCCTCGCCATTTCAGGAGCGAATCCGTTTGTTCGTTTGAACTTGTGTTCAAGTTCCGCAAGGCGTTTTTAAATTATGATACGTACAGAAAGTGTTATGGTTATTTGAGGGAAAGAACATTAGAATTTGACACCCTTAAAGGGAATACTTCAAGTTATTTAGAGTAGTAAAGAGAAAACCTGCCAAAAAATACGGCGAAGTCTGAAGATACAATTTTTTTTTATCAAGAACGTCTTCTTCTTTGGCTGGGAAATCCCGAGCCTAAAAACTCATCAAGACCTCAAGTTAACAAAGTCGCGAGCGAATACAATTTGTATATATTTTAAAATTGTTGACTGCCAATACACAATAATTCGTTGAACAGGGATTAAGACTTCCAACAATTTGTGTTGGTAAAAAGTGTTGACAAACCTATCACGACGCCGACCCTGGCGATTTTGTTGGACTTGGGCACCTAGCATAGTTTAGACTGAAGGAGTACTCCTATTAAGGCTTTCCTCCCCTAAATGAGATGAGGGGAAGGTCTTTGTATATTTCTTTAAGTAAAGATCGCTTTTTAAGAAATGCAATATTGTCACTAATATTTTCTTCAGAGTGGGTATTATGGGTAACATTGTGTGGCAACAGGTGGAAGTTTTTGAGGGGTATGAAATTCACTCAGTTCTAAGTACTTCACTTCTGACATCAAATACACTCAACTAAATCCGCCAATCACAAATGTTATTAGAACAACCATGGCACTAACTTACCCAAGAAAACTGAGAAAAAGTGTTTATAAAGAAACAAACGACAATAGACATAAGATGGGGGACAGGGTATAAAATAACTTCCTCGTGTGGTTGGCAACAACATACGATAAGGATAGAGGTTCCCTTATAGTCTACTTTGCTTGATGATTGATGCCCAACCACCTATTAAAAATGCTTTCTAGGGCTGTCCTATGCGTAGCTGTTATATCGCTTTTTCTGTTGCTTTTTTATTTGTTATTGCTTGCATCGGTCACACCGAACTTGACTTAAGCTGCGAGTCAACGCTGCGTTAACCAGCCTGTTTCAAATTCATGTTGAATATCCCTATTTCACCGTCAATCACAGCACTATGTGTCGGCATTGAAAATCATGTTGTCTTATACGCTTCTTGGTCGTGCTTACCAGTGCAATCGTGATGTTTGAGATGCTTATGTCGTGGTCTAGTAAGTAATTATGCAGTTGTTCGTGGAATATTAAATTTTGTTCTTCCAACTCAACTTCTGGAAGTAGGGTTAACCAGAATATAAGCATATAACCCATAAGCTTCTGGTTTAACAATTTGGTGACTTTGATCTAGTCTCTTGCGCCCTTTCCACGACCGAAACAACTTCTACGACGGACTGCCAGACTTCATCCGGGCTCCCATAAAATTGCAACACATGCCGCACTATCTTTCGCGAATAGAAATGTTTTAATAACTTTCTTAAACCTATTTACGGACGCAATGTTTGTGATGGAAAACGGAAGATGATTCCACAAAGTTATGAGCGGCTGCGTAAAAAGAATAATCGCCAAGTGCAACGAGTGATTTACGCTTACAAGGAGGAAGGCGTAGACCATCATTTGGCGTAAATTATGTCTTCCGGTGTCTCTAACAGAAATAAGGTCGCTTATACAAGCAGGGGAAAGAGCAGGTAATTAAGAGAATTTTAAAAGCAATACGATATCATACAGGCAGCCAGTGTAATGACTTCAGCAGAGGTGCGATGTGACAAAATCTGTTCTCCTGGAATATTAGGCACACAGCTCTGGGTATTCTGGACTATCTGTAACTCATGTAGAAAACATTCGCATGCTACAAACAAGAGACTGTTACAATAGTCCAGGCAGCTTGAAATAAAACATGTGTAAATGTCTCTGCACAAGTACTTTCTAATTCTTCTAAAATTGTAAAGAGGACAAAACGCTGCAGAACTAGTCTTCTAGTAGTGATATGATCAATCATAGAAAGGTTTGGGTCAAGCCAGACTTCAAGATTTTTTAACAGGAGAGTACGGAGTTACATTTACATTACCAACTTAGACGTGGCCAATATTTAGTATGGAGAGGTGCAGCTTCGTGCCAATCAAAAGAAACTCAGTTTTAGCCTCATCCAACAGTAGTTCATTGTCACCCATCCAACACCTGATCGCCTTAATACAACGCTCGATAACATGCAGCGATGGTATCCAAGTGACCCGTGTCATACGCGGGGCTGAAGGAGAATGAAAGGTGGGTGTCGTCTGTGTAGCAGTGGACAGATGGAATATAATCTTGAACAACATCTAGTGGCGAGATCGAACAAATGAATTATCTCAAGAAAGGAGCCTTGAGGAACTCCGCATTTTAATTGAAACTCCTCAGGCTGACACCCACGAGCTGATATCCGCTGAGTACGCCCTGATAAATACGATCGCAACCACTTAAATACCCTGTCCCCAAGTCGCACCTTGTTGAGTGCCTTCAGCAAAATACTGTAGTCGACAGTATCAATTGTAGCACAAAGATGTCGTTGTTAACTTTCAGGAGAGCAGTTTTAGTGTTGTGGTTCTCCCTGTCAGCCGATTGCGCAGTCGGATATAAGTTCGTGTCAACCATGTGATCATGTATCGGATGAAAAACATCTTTCTAGAAAACTTCGATGAGAAAGCCAAACTTAGAGGATATTATGCGGCGGCGACAAAATATCAATTTTAAAGTGGTAAGGACAATATCTCACGAGTGAGCCCAAGTATCGCTCTTGCTACGAACATAAAATTCATATCTTCGAGCTAACGTGTAATTTTCTTTTTTGTATACGGACAATAAATTCATCGTTGTCGTTTACCACAAAATCTTTGCGGCGGCCATTATTCCAAACAACGAACAAACCACGTTCATTCAGCAAAGTTTGAAAAGGCGGAAATCGTGTCGTCATCGCTTAATATGCCCATTCGTGTTTTATACGAAAAAAGTGCCACTCTGTTCCCGGATGTAGTGATTGTATTGATTCTACGAGTGTTTTAGTTCCCTATCAAAGTGTTTTCATTCTTTGAAGATGTTTGATAAAGTTCGGGCTTATAGACCGTATCATAAAACATCATTATCAAAATTAAAAACATTGTCTCCGACTCATAGTCTAAGCAAGAAGTAAAATCCAGTGGGCTCGAATTGAAAGTGAAGTACAGACTGTGCGATTTTGAGACGCCAATACCACAAAATATTGGCGGACTTAGGAGGAACTGTTTTTACGTATTACTAATTCGAGCTTCGTATCTTCCATTCAATCCCATCGTCTGATTGTAATTTAGTTTTAGTAGCGCTGAAAATTTGATTGAGCTTCATGTCTCTGTTCGGTGAATATCCGTGCACTAATCAATCAGTTGCTCCAATCTACATCTCGTTTACTACGGCCACGATATGTGTTCCGCTGTGTCTATTTACCATCGCCGGAAATTTACTCGTCGTGTTAGCAATCTTCATCGATCCAAACAAAGATCTCAAATCACCTTTTAACTACTTTGTGGCCAACCTTGCCATTAGCGATCTTTTGGTGGGATTCGTCGTCGACCCGACTGCGGTGGTGTACCATGTAATGGAAGGAGTTGAGAGGAAACTGCCACCTTTACCCTACATTCACATACCGTACTTCATTTCGTGTACAGCTTCTGTTCTCAGTTTGGCAGCTTTAACACTGGATCGATATTTGGCGATAGCTTCTCCGCTATTCTACAGAACACAGCTGAATCCTAAGCGAGCAGGTTTTGTGGCGGCTAGCATCTGGTTATTTTCACTAAGTTTTCCTTTCATATACCTTGTCACGGGCTACCTCACATATTCATTCGTCTTCCTCCACACAGTCGTAATTGGCACTCTCTTAGTCATCATTCTTACTTATTACAAGATTCTCCGTGTATTAAAAAATCAAATGGAACAATGGAATTCTTCGGATCAGACGAACGCGAACAATCAGGCGAAGAGACAGGCAGCAAGATGGGAACAGAAAGTAACCGAAACTTTTATTATCATATTGGCTCTCTTCTTAGCATGCTATCTGCCTTCCTGTATTTGCATTTACATTATTAACTTATGCAAAGTTTGCAGTTGCACACTTATTCACTGGGCAAGAGATATTCCTCTCCTACTGATCTTAGTCAATTCAGGAGTGAACCCGTTTGTGTATGCCTGGCGATTTGAAAATTTCAGGAAAGCGTTCGTAGGACTTTTGAGGGACAGAAAGCGTTCTCGACGAGAAAGCCAAATAACTTTAGCATTCGACAACATGACGATGGATAATTGACATAGAGCAGTAACTGGTAAAATGCTTCAAAGGGATGGGACACGAAGTTAACTTTGCCTGTTATCATTATGTTGGCTTTCATCGTACTGTATCCTCAATTGTGCCCTTGTATAATAGGTCAGAGATCGTCTTCTTATTTTGGTCCTCGCTATTTCTGCAGTGAATCCGTTTGTCTGTGCTAAGGTCTGAAATAGCATTTTAGAATTTTCTGACGAAGAGAAAGTGCAATGTTTATTTTGGGGGAAGAACATGGGAATTTGAAATTTTTGAAGGGAATACCGCAAGTTATTACGAGTAGTAAATTGTAAACATTTCGCGGAATACCACGAAATTCAAACAGTGTAACATGGGGGTATGCTTTCAGCTTTTTGTTCATGAATTTACATATTTTAACTAATTAAACAATGTCTGTAGCTGAAGTAACAATTATTAGACAGATGTGTTCCACTACAATCAGTCTGAGATAAAGAAGGAGTGATCTTGTTTGCTTATACTTTGTGACGAACAATTTTAGGAAACCAGCGTTAGAAAGGGAACGGTTAGCTAACAACGGTCAAAATCTTAAAATTTGTTGCAAGAGTCAAAACAACGATTTCCCTTCCTTGTAAAAACAAAATATTTTCTTGACAACTTACTGCTGGAAGATAGAATGTAATTAAAAATCAAATGAACCTTTTTTCGTGTTGATAGTGACAAAAACAGAATAGTCTTTATAAGTGAAATGCTTAGAGTGAAGTTGTTGTAGTCAAACGTCTGACGCTATTCCTAATGCGTTACCTTTCAATTTTTTCAAAACGTTCGTAATCTCACAGTTCTCAAATTAAATGGTTGAACGCTTCCTTTCTTTGACGGTCTCTAAAGCTATTCACAAGTTCACAAGCGGATATAACTGCAAGTCCTTAGAGCGTTGGGTATTTTTGCATCCGTTCAGTTTGATTTAACACTTGATATTGATTGATACCTCTCTGATCTCCACAAGTTGCACAAAATGTAATTTGTTTGTGTTCAAGTTAGGGTCTGAGAGATCTACGTGGGCAGCTTGTAAATAGTTCCGAACCAACCTCAAACTTTGTCTTAATTGTACTGAAGTGGGGGCGCTTACCGTCAACGTTCCACCAAAACGAGGCACTTACATATTATAACGAGGCGCTATAGTAAACGTTGATAATTAACTTGGTTTTCACTTGCCCGCTGGCACATTCGAACCTAATTTCTTTACCAAATTTTACAGAGAAAGTAATTGAGGTTACATGGGAATGGAACATTGATAAGGATAACTTGTTCCGTTGCCGTAAAACGTACATCGCCGGACTACGAAGAACAAATGTGTCCCAACCTAGTATTGAGTACAACAATTTGCATGTTGACAGAAGGCTGAAGTGTTAATTCGTTTTGTTTGTTTAAGCCTTCGTCTTCAAGTGTCCATAGATAAAGTTAAAAAGAACAAAATCCCTTTTGAACCTTCTGTGAAGACCGTCTTCAGCAACATATTGAAAGTCGTGACGTGAGGGATTATAGCCCCTTGCAGAAGAACTAAATTAATTTAGACGAGAAAGCCATTAATCGTTAATTAGCGGTCAAATTTAATAACATTAAATTCGGACCCTTTTTTGTTACAAACAAGCCCTAAACCGTCAAAGAAGTGTTACCATGGAGACTTAAACAGTGGACGTTTCTTTCTCATTTTGACCCTACCCTTGGGATTACTAGTTACATTAAATAGCTTTAGACTGATTACAAAAGAAGCTTTCAAAGGTTGCAAGTAAATTAAAATAATAGTGGTTCCTCTGTTATTAGTGTGTTAGGCTTTTGTTTTCGGCTTCTTTGACTTCTTTCTCCTTTTGCGCTTGGCCAGCAAGATATTTCTGAATAACATTAGAATAACACTTGAATAGCTTTGTAAAGCGTATGTACAGCTGTGTGGGCAAGTCAATATTTGATCTGGAATAAGTGATCAGCAATAACGATCTAATTTTCATATGAACCGTCTGTTTACTACAAAAGATAAGTTTGTAGTGACGAATAGCTAAGAAGTGCGTGTATGGCTGTGGGTAAAGGAACGAAGTTTTCTCCACCACATGGTATCACAAGCTCTTCTTCACAGATGAACAAAACCGTCATAAGAAAACAAAACAAGTCGAAAGAAGGAAAGAAACTCCAGGAGTTTGAAGTCTTTTCTAAATTCGGGGGTCTCACCTCTAAAGACAAATTTACACAAACCAGCCTCTTCGGCAATTACGAAAACGCTGCTTTGCCCCGGAGTAAGATTCGCTCAGCCGTGGAAAAACCACCGCGAATTCGCAAAAAGTCAGTACACACAGAGGCGCTTGATGCTCGATTATTACAGAGAGAGGAAGAAAACTTAGATTATAAATACGTTTTCGTTGGAGAAACCGACCTTGAAAAATCTACCAGAGAACGTTTATTACGGGAGGTAAAACAACAGAATTGGATTGACAGCGAGAGATCATGTCATTACGAGAGCCCGCCATCGACCCCGAGTATTTTAGGAAGGAAAATGGGTGTCGCAGCACCTCTCCATGGCACGCGCTTGAAAAGTGGAACTTTAATCAGCTTTGCCCCTAGAGTACAATACTGTGATCGATTGGTACACGTAGGCAAGGATGAGTATTCGAAACAGTTCTGTGATGTTCTTGGTCCTGACCTGTGCACTGACTGTACCAAGTCTCAGATGCAACAGTTTGTTATCGACGAACACATCCGAAGTTTTCCAGACATTTGTGTTTCGCCATATGTTTTGTGCGTCCCGCAAGAAACCGAAAGAGACCTCAAAACCCCATTCTCCGTCTACAAGGAATGTGACCCACTGCAACGCAGAAGACCTTCACCTGTCTCTTTAACCCACCACCTTCAAGGTCGCAAAACGCGTCCAAATAGTTGCTCTAACGAAAAATCAAGATCACACGACTCTAACTACGCTGCTGATTTCATCCAAAGCGAGAGCCAGAGCAGCAGTTTGCCCTTAGAAGTTCGACTTTGTGCGAGGTCACCAATTTCGTCGATCTGTAGTTCTCGAAGATCAAGTATTACAAGGTTCTTGATGGAATCAAAAAATAACGAATTATGCTCGAAAGGTGAACATTCAGACGAAGACGGAAAAATGGATGTTTTTCAGACCTCACTGCGAGGAAGGATCTCACCTGCGTTTCGCAGTCCCATGGCTGACTATAATGATGGAGACGAGGGCAGTTTCGAAGCTAACTGTTTCAATAAAAGGGGCAGGAAACCTCATTCTTCCTCAGGGCTAAACATAGCAAGATCAAGAGGTTCCATGTGCAAGACTCCCTCTATTGAAAGAACTGGAAAGCTCCGGGAGTTACCTTACTGGAAGATTTTGATACCTGAGCCACCAATGATGGAAGTTGGGCGGATGAATGTCAGCATTTATACTCCAAAGCAAATCCCAGGAATCAAGATTTTTGATGAAAGATTTTTTGAAATTTGATTGTAAGTGAGTTTTTCTATCTACTAACTATACTGAAGAAATTCATAAATTTGGTGTTCTCAGTTTTGAAGTTTACGGTGAGCGGGGTCACGAGCTACTTATGAAAATAAAACAATTATATCGAAGTAATTCAATCTGTAGAAGTTATTTAAAAACAAACTGGGTTTTGTTCAAGACGAAAACAATAGATTAAGAATATACCTACTGATGCGTCGAACAATTCAAAGTTTCAACATCCCCCCCGGGCAATTGAACTTTTGAAGATCGGTTTGTTCAAATTCCCGCCCCCGGGGGCAAGAATTGTGTTCAAATGCCCCATCCAATTTCTTTTGCAAAACGCAAAATCAGCGACTGTAACTTTTTACCCCTTGATCAAGCTTCAAAATCTAACCTTGAAGACCTTTTCTTCTGAGCCATTTGCTCGCGAAAGTGAAATATTTACCTTGAACACCTCCATACTAAAAGATATCATACTTGTAATCCACTGGAAAGACTTGAAACTTACGGTTTAACTTCCCCACCCCTGCCAGGAAAGGTTCAAACTCCTCACCCCCCCGGACAAGGACGATGGTCAAATGCCCGTTGCCCTGGGGGATGCTGAAGCTTGGACTTGATCGGCGCACTACAGGCGCACATGAAGAGTTGGCGGATTGCCTATAATCTAACATAAAATAACTCAATCTAACGAGAAAATTTAACTGAGACTTGGCGAAGCACAATGAATGATGAAAGAGTCACACAAAACATCCCTTCCTTTCCAACACGAATTATTGCTAGTGAAGAGTTAGCGAGATAAAAATTTCAGGATAAGATCTCTTTGGTGGATATTCGTGGAGCTCCTTGGACTTTATGGTCAGTGGTTGATCTCTGTGGGGATAGTGAGGAAAAATGGAAACTGACTCTAACCGGGCCGCGAGGTAAATAATTAAGGAAAGGAAGCTGAATTTACCAGAATACAGAATGGTAGAATGGTACAATACAAAATGAGCGCATGTGTTTGCGAGTTAAGTAGTATTTCCCGAGCCCCGTCGGAAGCGACGAAAAACACGATCAGTGAGCCATTAAATTCTCCTAAGTGATAAATAATAACAGATCTACTTCACTTAAGATCCAAATTGAAGTTTGAATAATTTAATGCGGCCCCCTTATTGCTCCGCCTTCCGTCCGTATTTTTTTCCCTGTTCTAAAATGTGATAACATCGCACATACTGCGTGTTCTGTTTCCTTTTACGTTGAAATGATAAAAATAACAATAAGACTATTTGAATTGGGCGCCCCTTTAGGCACAACACACAGTGTCTGTGGGTGAATAGGATGGTGGGTGCTTGTTTTTATTTGTGTATATGCACTATTAATATTCAGCATTGTTCATCAACCTCAAATCACGTGATACTCAAAACGATAGTGGGCTCTGAAGACGTAGTAAATATTCATACTAGATGAAATGTCCCGTCGGGATTAGACGATGACGAATGTTAAATGGCTTCATTAGAATAAACCGTATTACACAATGTGGAAACTTAAGGGAGGTCCCTATTTACTACTTGCGCTGTTGCTGAGAACAAATTCGGCGAATTGTCAGCTTTTTTCCTTGTTTGGCAAAGTGCCAGCTCGAACACAGCGGTCAAAAGTAAGGCATGTGCAAGGGGATCACTTTTTTCCGCCTGTGCACCAATTTCCCGCAAAAAGTTTCGAAGGAAAACATAAGAACTGCTGTCTTACAAAATAAAGCGGTCAAACTTCTGCTCATGTACGAATGTTGCAATGAGTAGGTGGTACGCTTTCAAGTTGTCAGAACCGAGATGTCCTACAGGAGTTACAATCAATCACAAATGTCATCAAGTTACGGTGTTTCACCTTTGGTGAGATGGAACACTCGTGGTTTAGTTAACTTGACATTACTGGAGACGTTTGTCGTATTTGACTTAACGGTTTATATAGTTGTGCACCCTTCCCCTGGAACTAAGGTGGAGGTTGTTCGACAGAACGAAGAAACTAATGGCTTTCTACATAACCCAGCTTCCCTATCGGTTGTTGGAAATCGACACTCGATTGACCGCAACATTTTGTTTTGTTTTCGCAAGTTGCATCAAGACCCCCGTCTAACGTGTGTAATACGCTGAAGAAGTAAGGGGTAAAATTTCCGCACAGCCCCATACTACATTATGCATTCAGTTCTTGGATAGAGAAAACAATGACAAAAACAATACATTGCCATTGGGAAAACAGATTTGTTTTACAATAGGATGGGACTATGGGGAAATTTTACCAAGCAAGGAATTCTTAAATACAGAGGCGGACGTAAAAATAGCAAAAGAATAGTCAAGATTATCATCACATCTCTCAGCCTTCATGGACAATTGAGCATTGTCAAGCAATTGAAGTTGCTGTCATGAAATAGGCGAGTTAAGGAAGCCGATTACACGGAGATGTCTAACACCCATACCCCGCGAGCCAAAGCCATCGGCCTACCATTCTGTTTTTGCCGTGCCCAGATGCATGTTTATTAACATTTGAAGCCTGACTAATATCAAGAACAAAGTTAGAGCCGTAGTTGTGCTTGAGGCTGATACGTGTCAGAATGATATGACTGCGTGTGTGATATGATATGACTGCGCACCTCAAACCAGCACAACCAGATGCCATGGTAAACATCGCAAATTCTTCTATCTTTAGGAGAGACAGAAACTGGTCTGGAAGGGATATGAGGAATAACGGTGGTGTTGCAATTTATATACCAAACAACCTCACGGTAGTTAATGTTTATTGCCGGCTCAACCTTGTATGAAGTCATCTGCATAAACTTGCGTCTCCCATCGGGACACCGCTTTTTAGTGTGCGGAATGTGTTACCCACCTAGACACAATTACGCGGAAGAAGATTTAATGAGCTCTAGAACCAACATTGTTGATAATGAATTGGATGAACATCCGCAAACTGTTGTTGTATGCGGCGGCGATTTGAATAAACAGAACATCGATCGGTTAGAAAAATTGACAGGCTGGAATGCGATGGTGGATTTCCCAACAAGATGCCTTTCATGCTTAGATAACTGTCTCTCAAATCTCAAGGAATTTTTTTGGGAAATACTATCCTTACCAAATGCTGACAAAAACCGATCACTGAGTTGTGATTTTACAAGCTGGCAAAAAGCTTTGTCCCAGCCGACATAAAGTTCAGATCCGAGATCAGAGAGAGCAAAGAAAGCACGTTTTATACTTAGCATTGACAAAGGAAGACTTGGGAGATGTTTATCGTGCCACGGATGTTGACCAAGCAGTTAATCAACTCGAGAGAATTAGTAGCGGACATTTAGATAGGTGCATGCCTGTCAGAACGGTATTAATGTTGTCACTCGCATGAACCCAGCGCTCTACCCACTGAGCTAACAAGCCAACCGGGAGCTGGTTATTAAGTTGGTTCCAAAAAAAACCCATTAAGCCTGGAAGGCCAGGCCAGGAATAAAGCAGTCGACATGCTAAAGAGTGCTAAACGAAAGTATTATGTCTCAAAACTTGAGAATAATAAAAACAATGCCAAAGAAATGTGGAAAACAATCAAATCAATTTCTGGATTGAGCAAACAGACCTTAAAGTTGGTGGGTATCTCTTAGAGGACAATAAAAAAATTGCTTCCGAGTTTAATTTTCATTTTACATCTATTGCGGATCAGCTTAGGTCTCTACTTCCTCAATTGAATTTTGACATATCTAAACTTCAGAACTTTGTCATCAAAAGAAAGGATGCTAGCATCACTTTCTCCATTCCTCCTATTACAGAGAGCAAGATCATCGATTGTCTCAAGAACATTACCTCAAACAAGGCCAGTGGTATTTATAATATCAGTGCGCGAATGCTGAAATTAGCAGCTCCTATTATTGCTTCGTCCATTGCTAAACTAATTAATTATTCCTTCATCACATCAGTTTTTCCTCAGCGCTGGAAGACTGCAAACTGAGTTACTCCGTTATTTAAAGGTGGGGATCCAGAAAACGTAAACTATCGTCCGATATCAGTGTTGCCAGTACTTACCAAGGTAATCGAGAGGCATGTACACGACTCACTTTATAGTTATTTGTGTGTCAATAATTTAATTTATTCTAAGCAGTCTGGCTTTCGCAAGCGTCACAGTACTGAAACTGCTCTTATTGGAATTATTGACGAACTGCTGTTTAACCTTGACAGTGATCGCGTGAGTGGTATGATTTTAATTGATTATTGCAAGACTTTCGACATGGTTGATCACTCGATTCTATTGCAAAAACTTCAAGCATATGGGTTTGACAACAAATCGTTGATCTGGTTTCGATCATATCTGAATGAAAGGCGCCAGTTGGTATCTATGGGTAACATAGAACCCCTACTGCTTGTGTTCGTCATGGCGTACCTCAGGGCTAAATTCTGTGTCCCTTGCTTTTCATCGCCTTTATTAACGATCTTCCGCTACAAAAGTGCTTACCATTACTGGCAAGCGACTTTCTACCAGAATTAACCGTGACATTGCTGTAGTTGTTAATGGAAAACTACGATGGCCCAGGAGGCTCACCGTCCAGTTTTATTTTTTGCACAGTCCAGTTTTATTTTTTGCACAGTCCAGTTTTATTTTTTCACAGTCCAGTTTTATTTTTGTACAGTCCAGTTTTATTTTTTCACAGTCTAGTTTTATTTTTGCACAGTCCAGTTTTATTTTTTGCACAGTCCAGTTTTATTTTTTGCACAGTCCAGTTTTATTTTTTTCACAGTCCAGTTTTATTTTTTTCACAGTCCAGTTTTATTTTTTGCACAGTCCAGTTTTATTTTTTGCACAGTCCAGTTTTATTTTTTGCACAGTCCAGTTTTATTTTTTGCACAGTCCAGTTTTATTTTTTCACAGTCCAGTTTTATTTTTGCACAGTCCAGTTTTATTTTTTGCACAGTCCAGTTTTATTTTTTTCACAGTCCAGTTTTATTTTTGCACAGTCCAGTTTTATTTTTTTCACAGTCCAGTTTTATTTTTTTCAC